TAGCTATGATCTCAGCGATCCAAAAAATCCTTGAATTGCTGATCGTAAAAGATCAACAAAACTCGCCCACTGTTACAGTATCAATGAATGACAAAGAATGTTGTTAAATACTTGATTGGATCTAATTATTCTTAATTATATTAGCTTTTTCTTCTTAGAATTAAAGATGTACATTTCTTAATAATGCACATGTTCTAATCATAAAAAGACATGATATAGTGGAAGACTTGAAAGCCGAGCCCTGTGGCTTAGAAAGGCTGGAAAAGCCGAGAGCTATATTGCTAAGAAAGGCTGGAAAGCCTTTTATTAAAAATTTTGATTCATTTTATTAATGTTTCATTTAATTCATTCTAATTTTTTGAAGCAAAGGTTCAACAAATTAAATTGAAAAACGGTTTGATTAGTTTTGATTAATTGAACTATTTGATGATGTATACTGTTTAACAAGTAAATTATGTTACTTTTTTGTGTATTTCCCTTTCATTAAATTAATTATGTTTTAAACTTTTTGACTGAATTCCATTCTGTATCCACTGGAATTCAAATAGAATTAATAGAATAAATAATACCCCTCTCTCTTAATTATACTTACTGTATGTTAGTTTAGTTGAGTGAGTCCAATTACGTATTATTAGTTGTTATTACTGAATAATGATACCTAGAAAATAGATACTTCAATTTATATGATCAATACTCTATTAAGACCGCAGATTACACACAGACAATAAATTAGACAGCTTTGGATTACGGTTTAGAACTTGTTTTCAGTATAACATGGATATTCAAGCTGAATTAAGATGAATCTGTTTACCAACTAGTATAATTAAGATGAATCTGTTTACCAACTAGTATAATTAAGATGAATCTGTTTACCAACTAGTATGATCAAGATGAATCTGTTTACCAACTAGTATAATTAAGATGAATCTGTTTACCAACTAGTATAATTAAGATGAATCTGTTTACCAACTAGTATGATCAAGATGAATCTGTTTACCAACTAGTATAATTAAGATGAATCTGTTTATCAACTAGTATAATTAAGATGATTCTGTTTACCAACTAGTATAATTAAGATGAATCTGTTTACCAAATCAACTCTACTGATCTGACTAACTTTGCCTGGCAAGTTTCCAAAGGAATGGTTTATTTATCGGAAATGAAGGTTGGTGAAAATTGAAAAGTTTTAATTAAAAGGATTAAAAGGAACTCCCAACCAAATTGCTCTGATTAAAAGGAACTCCCAACCAAATTGCTCTTGTTGAATAGTTTAAAAGGGTTTCAGCGAGATGTATTTGTTTTATTTCAACCTAATTTTGTGTTAGAAGGAAATCTTTATATCTATAGCATAGTCGAGCAAGAAAAGGACCCAATTCATCTCATATTTTCTAATAAGAGGTACAAGAGGTACAAGTAGTTGAACTACAATTACAACTCGTTGAATTACAATTGCAACTTGTTGAATTACAATTGCAACTAGTTGAATTACAATTACAACTAGTTGAATTACAGGTAAATTTGGTTGAACTATTGTTACAATTAGTTGAATTACAGGTACAACTAGTTGAACCAAAATTAAAACTAGTTAAATTACAATTACAGCTATTTGAACTACAATCACAGCTAGTTGAACTACAATTACAAATAGTTAAACTACAGTTACAGCTAGTTGATTGACTTTTACAACTTGTTAAACTACAGTTGCAACTAGTTGAACTAACGGTAAAACTAGTTAAAGTGCAGTTACAAATACTTGTAATACAATCACATTGATCTAGCTGCTTTAGAAATGTGCTGGTAGCTAATCTACTTGTATTCTAGTTAGTTCACCGTGACCTAGCTACTAGAAATGTGATGGTATCTAACCTACTTGTATTCTAGTTAGTTCACCGTGACCTAGCTGCTAGAAATGTGCTAGTAGCTAACCTGCTTATATTCTAGTTAGTTCACCGTGATCTAGCTGCTAGAAATGTGCTGTTAGCTAACCTACTTGTATTCTAGTTAGTTTACCGTGATCTAGCTGCTAGAAATGTGCTGGTAGCTAACCTACTTGTCTTCTAGTTAGTTCACCGTGATCTAGCTGCTAGAAATGTGCTGGTAGCTAACCTACTTGTATTCTAGTCAGTTCACCGTGACCTAGCTGCCAGAAATGTGCTGGTAGCTAACCTACTTGTATTCTAGTTATTTCACCGTGATCTAGCTGCTAGAAATGTGCTGGTAGTTAACCTACTTGTATTCTAGTTAGTTCACCGTAATCTAGCTGCCAGAAATGTGCTGGTAGCTAACCTACTTGTATTCTAGCTAGTTCACCGTGATCTAGCTGCTAGAAATGTGCTGGTAGCTAACCTACTTGTATTCTAGTTAGTTCACCGTGACCTAGCTGCTAGAAATGTGTTGGTAGCTAACCTACTTGTATTCTAGTTAGTTCACCGTGATCTAGCTGCTAGAAATGTGCTGGTAGCGGAGGGGAAAATGTGTAAAATCTCAGATTTTGGACTTTCCCGAGATGTTTACACTGACGAGGCCTACTGGAAGAGATCCTCTGGAAAATGTAACTATTTTATTTTTGTTTTAATCCAATAATCGTTTATTAAGAAATTAGTCCCTCGCTCACTGTTCCATATTTAATCACAATAATTGGAGGGATTAGATCATGCCTTTTCAAATCCTTCGTCCTACTTCAAGCCACCCTTGCCTAGTTTTTATTCTGAAACACGGAATTGAAATCTGACGTTTTTTGGGGAAAAACAAATCCTGAGAACAGAGTCAGGATGCATACTAGTGTATTTCAATTTAATTTTGAATTAAAATATGTGGAAACCCAAAGAATTTGAAAGACCATCCAAGTGTTGAAAAATGGTTTAAAGTGTTGAAAAATGGTTTATGCTTTTTACAAATTTTCAACGAATGAGTGTTCTTGTGACATTATAAAGAAATGATTTATTGTCAGGGTAAATTTTTCAAGCAAACAACAAAGAATCTAATATTTTTTTAATAAAAATGTTAAATCTATTTCTTTTTGGTATACTAGTTTCTAAAAATTAAAGCCTTATATAGTGCAAAAATGTCTATGTTCAGGGCTGCAAAAAAAGACACTGCTGCACTTTAAAGTCGACCCTGCATTGCAAATTGATGGAAAGGAATTAAATCTTTGCCACAAACTCTGATTTTTTAATCCCTACATCTTTGCAACCGAATGTAGTGTGAATTATGTTAGATAAAATAATCTAAGTTTGAAATATCAAAGGTTGAAAGATATAGGATTAGAAAAATTGAGTTTGTTCCCTATTAAACCCCCCTGCATTCCCGTAGTTCTCCTGAGTTCCCAAAGCACAATTTTACACCTTTATATATATATATATAGATACCCTCCTACGTACGTACATATATCCTTCAATATTGAATGGGATGAATGTATTTAATTGGATTATATAAATGTGTTTACGTCTAACCAATAATACCAAAACTACAGTAATCTGTATTATTTTTTATTATTTTATTATTATTATGTAGTATGCAACATCAGTCTAAAGTATATTTACAGTTATGGGATGAATCGTTTTCACGTTTTTAAAAACGATAGTTTGGTTTCAGACGACAAAGAAAGCAAACGAAACGGTTATTTTTAAAAACGATAGTTTTAAAAAAAAATTAATTAAAACGAATAAGTTGTTTTTAGTTTTATTTCGTCGTTTCGTTGAAGAAGGAAGGTCGTTTTAAATTTTTGTCGATTCGTTAACAACGACCCTTCGTTAGCAACATTTTTGCGACAAAATACAAATTTTTTTTTGGTCGGAAAACTCTGATATCAGAAAACATTCAGGTTATTTAAGGTTATGATAAAAAAATTGAAAACAGAATTCGTAAGCTTATCTTCCTGAAAAGAATGAAATTAATTGTCATAAAACTCAGCAAAAATATTTTCAAAAATGATCGTAAATAAATATTGTATTTTTTTGTTGTTTTTTAAAAGTTCAAAACGAGTGAGTCGTGTTTTCTAAATGCGATATATGCGATTGTTTTTAGAAAGACAAAAAATCGTTTAACAACCCTATTAAGTATAAGAATTCACTAAACATTCCATTAACAACCCTATTTAATATAAGAATTCACTAAACATTCCATTAACAAACCTATTTTATTAAAAGAATTCACTAAAACATTCCATTAACAAACCTATTTATTAAAAGAATTCACTAAAACATTCCATTAATACAACTATTTTATTAAAAGTATTCACTAAAACATTCAATTAACAAACCTATTTTATTAAAAGAATTCACTAAACATTCCATTAATACAACTATTTTATTTAAAGAATTCATTAAAACATTCCATTTTCAGTGCCTATAAAGTGGATGGCTCCAGAAAGCCTAAGGGATCATATCTATACTTCAAAATCTGATGTTTGGGGCTTTGGCGTCTTACTTTGGGAGTTAGGTAAATACGTAACCGGGGTTTCATATTCATAAATTTTACATAATTGTAATTTGTCTATGCCAAAAGAACTGAATCCTTGACACAAACTCTAATGTTTGAATCCCTATGTCTTTGCAATCTGATGGGTCAGACCATTGAAATTTTAACCTATGAATCCAGCTAGATCATTTATTTTAGTTATAGATAGATAAATATATATTTATCATTAAAGTACAAAATTTTACTTAGATAAATTCGTTAAACTTATACTTTAATGACGGGATTTGCCAAGCCAACATTGGCCGTCTTTAATGTCTAAATATCAAAAGTTCATTTCAAGTACCAGGTCGACTTTTAATCAGCTAAAGCAAGCTGTATACTAAAATTACAGACCAGGACAGTAAACCAAATGAGTAATCCCTTTCTAGTGAACTAAATGTGAGGTCTGTGTGACTCAAGGTGAGGGAAAAGTCCCGGGATTTTCCTGTTTTTCTGGATTTTCAAAATAATGAATGTACTTACAAAAATCTATTAGTTTTCCAGACTTAATGATGTTTTACAGGATATTTTATTCAAAATTTTTAATTTTCAAAATATCCGGAAGAGTTAAAGAAAAAGTATTTATATAAATGTTTTATTTTTGTTGGATTAATTTTCCACTCCTACACAATCCATTTATAGTAATCTACCTTCCCTGCCTCAGGGAAATATATTATTTTCGTTATTTCACTTCTTTCTGTTCCTTCATGATACTTTTTATCTTTAGCATATTTACGCAAAACAATGATCAATATATATCTTCGCAAATCTTTAGTAATGCATATATTGTTAGATTGAATGGTCAATGTTTGAAATATTAAAGGTTTACATCATCAATTATCTAGGGTTGCAACAGTATTACTGCAAACTAACCGGTAGAAAAAGATCAAAATCAATTGATGTTACGACTGTTACGACTTTGTGACCTCGTTACTCCTCTAGTTCTGATTTTATGCCAGTGTAAGAAAAACAAATGTATTTGGTAACTGCAATAACATATTATGATTTCAAAACAATTTTCTTTTTTCTCAATTATAGCTCTTCTAGTTTGACGTGGCATATTCGGGATTTTAAACTCTAAGAAATAGCTCTTCTAGTTTGACGTTGTATATCCGGGATTTTAAACTCAAAAAACATAGCTCTTCTAGTTTGAAGTGGCATATCCGGGAATTAAAACTCTAAGTAATAGCTCTTCTAGCTTGACGTGGTGTATTCGGGATTTTAAACTCTAAGAAATAGCTCTTCTAGTTTGACGTGGTATATCCGGGATTTTAAACTCAATGAAATAGTTCTTCAAGTTTGACGTGGTATATCCGGGATTTCAAACTCTAAGAAATAGCTCTTCTAGTTTGACGTGGTATATTCGGGATTTTAAACTCTAAGAAATAGCTCTTCAAGTTTGACGTGGTATATCCGGGATTTTAAACTCAATGAAATAGTTCTTCAAGTTTGACATGGCATATTCGGGATTTTAAACCCAATGAAATAGTTCTTCAAGTTTGACGTGGTATATCCGGGATTTTAAACTCTAAGAAATAGCTCTTCTAGGTTGACGTGGTATATCCGGGATTTTAAACTCAATGAAATAGTTCTTCAAGTTTGACATGGCATATCCGGGATTTCAAACNAGTTTGACATGGCATATTCGGGATTTTAAACTCTAAGAAATAGCTCTTCTAGTTTGACGTGGTATATCCGGGATTTTAAACTCAATGAAATAACTCTTCAAGTTTGACGTGGTATATCCGGGATTTCAAACTCAATGAAATAGTTCTTCAAGTTTGACATGGCATATTCGGGATTTTAAACTCAATGAAATAACTCTTCAAGTTTGACGTGGTATATCCGGGATTTCAAACTCAATGAAATAGTTCTTGAAGTTTGACGTGGTATATCCAGGATTTTAAACTCAATGAAACAGTTCTTCTAGTTTGACATGGTATATCCAGAATTTTAATCTCAAAGAGATAGCTCTTCTAGTTTGACGTGGTATATCCGGGATTTTAAACTCAATGAAATAGTTCTTCAAGTTTGACGTTGTAGATCCGGGATTTCAGACTCAATGAAATAACTCTTCAAGTTTGACATGGTATATCCAGGATTTTAATCTCAAAGAGATAGCTCTTCTAGTTTGACATGGTATATCCAGGATTTTAATCTCAAAGAGATAGCTCTTCTAGTTTGACATGACATATTCGGGATTTTAAACTCAATGAAATAGTTCTTGAAGTTTGACGTTGTATATCCGGGATTTTAATCTTAAAGAAGACAGGTTTTTACACTTAAGGATTTGAGTCTTTGGCACAAACTCTGATTTTCTAATCCTCATATATTTACACCCTAATGTCATATACCTTTGATATTTCAAACTATGAATTATGTTGGATAAAATAATCTAAGTTTGAAAGATTGCAAAGAAATAGGGATCGGAAAATGTGAGTTTGTGGCAAAAACTCAATTCCTTTGTAGTTAATCCGCAGCCACAATTGTATTTAAAAATTAGGGTTGATAACACACACTAAACTACGTTAGTGGGGTAAATCAAACTAAACTAGTGGGATAAATCGACCTTAGACAGGCCGGGTACTGTAAAAAGTATGGCCGCGCCATCAAAGTTGAAACCAGCATAGGATAGGGTATGGTCGGTACTTGCCGCGTGTCACTAAGCCCGGTACAAGGGGTCGGTCCGGTTCGAATTCAAATTGACCCTAGTCCACTGTGAACATCATATTATGCGCTTAGATTAAGGTTCATAACATATCATGTTCAGTGACGCTGGGTAGTTCCCCGTATCCTGGTGTACAACCAGATAGGCTCTACCCTCTTCTCTCGGCTGGATACAGAATGCAGAGACCTGAAAACTGTTCAAAGAATCTGTAAGTTTTATTGATTTTCTTAATAAAAAAAATTCCAATTGAGAAAATTCTGAGTAAAGAATTTCCAATGATACAAATTCAAGCAGGGTTAGTTTTTATTATTATTTTAAAGTCCCCTTAAGGGTATTCTCGACATTCATGCTTAAATCCTCTTATATCAAACTTGAAACAAATGTTGAAAATATAATATTTTTTATTTGTTGAAATATAAAGACGGTAGCGACATGTATGGGATTTTAAAAAGTCAAAATTTCATTTTATTTAAAAATTTTAAAAATCACCTAATCAAATGCACATATTATATCCAACCGACCAGTTGTGCTAGCCGTATATCCAACCGACCAGTTGTGCTAGCCGTATATCCAACCGACCAGTTGTGCTAGCCCTAGTGCACGTCTGGTTCCCAGGCATAAGAAAATACTTCAGCCAGAACTGAGAAAACACATTGATAAACTGCTATCTGACATTTTAATCTTTGACATTCATCAATAAATTACTACTTTGTCTGAAAATAACAAAAAACAGACCGACAAATTGCCTCGACAGCGGGATCTTATCATTTTCAATTAAATTATAGACCCCATCCCTCTCTCCTTCAATTCCCTAACTTATAGCCTCCCCCATCTCCTCTTTTATTCCCTAAACTGTGATGTTTGAAAATAAATAAATATCAGTAAGTGCGTATGTAAGTATAGAGTTGTTAGAGTGGTTTCATTAATTCTATATAATTAACTAGTTCCAAGAATGCCTAATTGAACTATATATCCTCGGGTCGAAAACTGATGAACCTCGCCATATGAGAAATGATGTTCATAAAACTATTTTGTGGAAAGATCGAAATATTATGTTAGATAAAATTTAACTTGATATCTGCCCTTTTAGTAAAAGTAAATTCAACCTATATGAAGCATGTCTGATCGCGTCAACCTTGTTGCAACGGTTAGTCCTGTCCATAGAGCTATAGGTACAGTACAAACTGGGACCGGATTGACCCGGCTCGGAAATTCAAATGTACTACTGCTGCCCGTGGTACATTCCTTATTGCTGTTCATGAACTGTACTCGAAGTTTCAAGTGACACAGTTCTGCGAATGACATGTCCTACTCCCAAGGGTAGCATGGGTAGCTTTGGTTCATTAAGATTGAATCACATAACTGTGTTTAAATAGTTTTAAATTCATTATTTTCCACTGTGCGACTGGAGCATTTCTTCTGCTAAAAAATCTGGGAAAATTCTCTGAATTAAACTATTTTCATGAAAGAAAACTAACGATACCTTTCATTACATTGATCCGATAAAGGTTTAAAGGGTACTGTTGTGAATCGGACATGCCTCTTTAAAATTGGAAGGTACCTTCAATGTATGCTCAATTGCAGTCATATATTCTTATTTTCTTGTATCTGTTCCTATTCCTTATGATTTGCAGTATGGGTATATATAGTACAGAATACTAAATCCTATAATCTATTATAGCTTTATAATAAAACTCTTCGCTTGTATATAATATATATATATGTTAGCTTTATAGCTGGTCAAATGGGTTGACCAATCTGACTGAATATTTTTGAGGGAAGCCATGGGTACCCAGGGAATAACAAAATTCAATTTTTTTATTTCACAGGCCATTGCGGGAACTTCAGTTAGACATATATATATATATCTAGGTATAGTATGATGCTGAGTTGCTGGGCCCAGATACCAGAGAAGCGTCCAACCTTTCATCAGATAGAGAAACAGCTAGAGCAGATTCTACAGGTTAATCTTACACACACACACCC